ATTTATGTTGACTATAACTCAATAACGAAAAAACGTGGAGCTGAAGGACCAACCACCTAATCTGGGGATCACCTTGGCCTAAAAGATCCAGGATGGATCATAATACGTTTCTGGGAAACTGCCCACCTACCTCTCCGCTAAGCCAACATTAACTAGCGAAAAATGTTGGCTTAGGGACCCCTTATAGGCAGTCAACTTAGGCAAGTCTCTAAGTCAAAACAACCTATCATGAGGTCAAAAGAGAGCTTCGGAGTGACATACTGGTGAAATCAGCTTTGTAAATCAACTAAACTCACTTGTTGACTTCCTCCTCTTGCAGGTGAACTCTCAGAGTGTCATTTTCCTCACATGTCAGCTTCATTTCAGCCAGCTGTTCATTAGCATTCTTTAGTTCCATCTGTGTGAGCTCCAATTGTTCACTTACTCCTTCGAACTCCTTTCTTAACCCTGCCAACTAATTCAACAAAGAAAACCGTTAAATGTAAAATGAACTTAATTTTGAATGCTGAGGAGTGGGAAACTCTACAAATCCTTTTGAACTGCAAGTTTTATAAAAGAAAGTGAGAAAAACCAGTACTGAACACGCAACCTCTGGGATAGATATTCCAGCGCTCTAATCGACTAAACTCCAAGGCTAGTTGGCAGCTTCCACACTTTTTCATACTGAAGACGTTTTTTTGGAGTGTAAATGTTGGAGTATAAACGATTTTCGAAGTGAGGTGGAAGAAATCGAAATTTCCCTTTTCTTACTTCAGTGTTCAAGAATGTAAGGATGGACAGGGAAAGGAAAATTCCAATAAAATGCGACTATCATTGGTATTTCAGATATCACAATTCTCATTCTGATCAATGTTTAGCCCCCTTTTTATATCTAGTTTGTATTTTATGTCTTTATGGTCTCTGGTGTTTCGAAAAACTGCCCACCGTCCTGTCCTCCCCAGCCCGACACTAACACTAACGGATCAGTGAAAGAGGGGCAAAATGTTGGGTTAGAAGAGGGGTAAGACGGCTGTTTAAGAGAATCTTACACTCTGCCCACCGCCCTGTCTTCCTCAAACTCTACTCTAACCTTAACGGCTCAGTAAAAGAGGGGGAAAATGTTGGGTTAGGGGAGGGGTAGGCAGGTGAGCATTTCAGATATGTATACCTTGGCTTCAGCCTCCTCGGCCTGTTGTTGGGCGGTATCCTTAGCAACCATAACCGCTGTATGTTCTGCTTGTCTTCTGTGCAGTGTACTCTCTGTTTGACGCAGCTGTTGGATTTTCTACCGTAGACAATCAAGGATAGAGACATTTAGAGTCACGTTTAGGCAAACGGCAAACCCAAGTTAAGAATATCTCAAAATAGAAAATAAGCAGATAAAAACACTTGAAGGGTAGTTCTTATGGATAAAAATTACATGAAACTACATAATTTCTGCGTTTTTATTTTTATTTTTAAGTAAAGGGTAAACTTGGTCACGTCGTACAAATTGCCGTAAACGAGAATCCAAATCTCTCTTATACCCTTTTAGCTTCAACACCAAGTAGATTTATGCTTTCAAAACGCAGATCACTCATGAATGTTTTCTGCTATACAGCTATTTGGCAATTAACGTCGATGGAAAGCCTACGCGAAGAGACCATAGCAATACTGGTTTTTAAGGCTTAAGGCTTTAAAATCCGACAACTTTAATGGAAATGGCTGCCAGAAAGGCTTCATTGACGGCTAAGTTGATAAAAAATATCAAAGAAAGAAATCAGACTTAGCGACATGTTTTGGTCGCATTCCACACTAATTCCCGACTATAAAGACCGAAGAGTTAGCCAGGAAACCGCCACAAAAGAAGGACTCAATCGCCCTTAGCTATAGGAAAAGCGTTTGCTCGCAAGCTAGCAAACAGGAACACAATCCGTTGCCATACACATTCCCCGAAACTACCTTGCAAGGGCCGATTTAGGGGTGGGCGTAGGAGGCCCCGCCCCCCCCCCCCGGCCCTATTGTCCTGGAATTTTTTTCTTAAATATTTCAGCATTACATGTTCAATATGGAATCCAAGCATTTGCTAAATTTAAACGTCCAGAATGCACGAGATTGCATCTCAAAGAACTTCAATCTCAAACATTTTCTCGGAGGGGCATGCGCCCGAATCTCCCTAGAAAAGTACGCCGTTCGCAGTCCTGATGGGCGCTAAGATGGGCGCTATCGCCCCTATATTGGCACTGTATACTATATCTCTAGGCTCCCTGTAACACAAAATCCTCCGTCAGCCCCTACCCTGAGCCAAAGCTGCACAATAAGATTTATGTACCTTATCCAGTTCGATTTCCAAATGCCTCTTTGTCGTCTCCAGCATGGATGCTTTCTCAGACAAATCCTTTATTTGTTCCCAGGCTCTACTCAGCTCAGACTCAAGCTGCGCTGTCCTGTTCTCCAGGCTCCCGCGCATTTTGCTCTCAAACTCAAGAGCTGTTGAGGCTTTGGTTCCAGTGTGACTGGCATTGGTGAGCTCTGCGCGTAGGGCAATTAATTCCTGCAAAAGGACAGCATGCAAGTTATTCAGAAAAAATGTTGTGCAAAGGGGCTATGCATGTGAAGGACAATTTTTCTGTGGAAAAGCTCTTCCCCTCTTAAAACACGGAAATATTTTAACTCGGCCTTCCATATAGCCTCCAATGCAGTACGCTGAGGTTCATTTCCAGAGTTCCTACTCCTTTAAGTTCTTCGAATTCCATGACTTTCGATGACCCTTTCAAGTTTTCCATGACCTTAGGTTTAGTTGTCACTTTCGAGAATTTTCAAAATCGTCCGTCTTGTAAGGTATTTTACAGACAGCAACTCTGGTGTCCAAACGCGTCCTATTCGCGCTGTCTAATTACTCCTCTTTACCTTACATTGTCCTTGCTTTGTCATCTGCAGTAATTAATCTACCAAACAAAACTTTCATTTTCCATGACTTCCAAAGATCGACAATTAACTTCATAACTTTTCAGGCCTGGAAATTGAATTTTTAAATCCCATGACTTTCCAGGTTTTCCATGACCTGTACGAACCCTGAATCAGCTGGTCAGACAAACCGGTGAGGGAAAACGCAAGCTTCTTTTGAATGTGTAAGAATGGCCTACATCTTAGTAAAGGTTAACAGGATAGAAAATAGGGTTAAAGTCATTCGTATAACCCCCAACTTTCTTTGCAGATTCAATGCCCAGGCAAAAATGCCCTAGTATGAAATGCTCCCGTTAGCTTTTGTCCTTTTTTTCTGTCAGCTGCTGTAAGGTTACCATAGTTAGCATGCTTTGTGTGTCGATGGTACCCTTTCTCCCCTCGCCCTCCTTGTAGCCTGTTCTACTAACGAAACTAAACTCTGGTTAAGTCCGTCTGCAAAACAGCGCCGAAATCCTTGTTCTGGGTCCCCACCTGTGTACCAAGATTTAACATGATTGGTCTGTTAAAAATACCATTGTCGATTTGCCAATCAGGTTGAAGGAAAATACAAAACGCACTTCCGGTTTTTTGTTGAGTCCATTGGGTGCCCAGAACAAGGATCTCGGCGCTACTTCGCAGACGTTACTAACCGAGGTTAAATAGGCCATGTGCACAATGGCGTCATTTTACTACTACGACCAGGATCCTTTTCGTTTTTTCTTTCACTTTTAAATTTGTAATCCCAGCGAGGTTTGAATAACAAAAGCCCTAATTTGCACAAGAAAGCAAAACGCTGAAGGATTCTGGTCGTAGTGGTAAAATGATGTCATAGTGCCTTTTGCGTCTGCGATGCAGGCTACCACTCTCGTTGTATGAAGGAGTGTGGTTCCGATGTGAAGCTTGCTAAATGCAAGTTGGCAGAACATTAAAACAAGGAGAACATTACCTCATCTCTTTCTCTTAGAAGGGAGCTTAAATCTTTGCTTTCTCTCATAGCCTGTTCCATCTGACTCGCCAGGGAGTGGCGCTCAGCAGACGATTTCTCTCTTTCTCTTTCTATCTCATTACGCATGTCAACAATCAGCCTTTCATATTTAGCCTAGAATGGAATAAATTAGCTCATTGTTGTCACCGTTCCGTTTAGAGTATCCAAACAAACAAGCAGTAATTAAGCGCGGAGTAAAGTTGAGTGACACTTGAGGTATACGGCATTTATTCACTGGACGCTGCCGCGCAAACTTGACATAAGCGCAAACGAAGCTAGGCATATCCAAGTTAATGAATTGTAGATCATCCTTTAACGCTACGGTAAAACGCCAAGGGCGACAAAAACCTGACAGTTACCTTGCAAGTTGCTGCAAAAGGAGTTGAAGAACGTATTGTATTAAATCAGGTTGTTGCAGTTTTCGGTATACTGATTTCTGATTGGATAAAATTACGCAGGATTCACGCCATAAACGGGGATTACGTCACATGCTAGAACAAAGTTTGCCTTAGGCCGGGAAAACGCGCAACATCATTCATTTGGTTCTACATTGGGACCCATGATTTTTCACAAAATGAGTCCCAGGACACACCATAACTATTTGTAACAAAATCACTGAAGTTGGTGAATGCAAGACGACAAGACCACATTGAACACTCACCTGACTATCAACTGAAGCATTATGCTGTCTCATAAGCTGTGCAGACATGACTTTAACTTCTTCCTTTAGCTGATCCACTTCCTGCTTAGCAGAACTACTACTCTCTTGAGTAAATTCATATCTTGTACTCAGCTCTGTTCACAATAAAAACATAGGAAATAGTACAAGGTTAGTGTCCAGGGGTACTTACCATTTACATGGGAAAACCGGACATTCCGGTTGGAAAATCAAATGGTTTGCGCCGTCCCGCAATGAAAGCTTCAGAAAACGAGGGTTGCGTTTTGAGGTGGGGAAATTTTCTTCTCTTTTTGGTTTGTTCAGCTTGTTTGGATATACTTTGTAACGGGTCGTTCGCCCACCACGTCTAGACTGCAAAACAGTCCGTATTCTTGCGTATTCAAGTACGAGCGAGCAGTCAAACAAAAGGTCTGGAACGAGGCTGAAAACAGAGAGCGAGACTGGGGAGAGACGATTTTTTTCTCTCGCCTCACAGACCCCTACGGGCGTGTGAGGCTCGCGCGCTTCGCGCGCGTAAGACTCTTACGCCACGTTTCACCGATTTCTTTACTGATTTTGAGAAAAAAACCACTGTTTTGCAGTCTCACCACGTCCAATTTTTTGTTTTATGTTTATGCACGAGATTTCTACCTGGTTGGTTTGTGTAAATGGTAGAGGCCCCTATGTTCATGAAGTGACTGCTGTTTTAAAGAAATTAAAGAAGCACTCCAACCTGGCTCTTTGATATACTGGACAGCTTCTTAGAATAATAAGCCCTCCACGTCAGATGACGTCAGAAAACAAGGAGAAAATTGTCTCACTCTACTTGAAGACTTAACAGCTGGGCCCAGTACTCGGATCACGAACATTCGGAAGCTCATCGTTATTTTCTAACTAAGAGCTTTTAACATTCCGAGACTCTCAGGAAAGAAATTGATAAGAAAACCAAACTTTGTGTCCTATCCTTTTCCAGGCTCCAAGATAGCTGGTGTAAAAAACTTGCCGGGGGCTGAGGAAAGAGGAGGCGCTCTCTCCCGCCGACCACCACCTCCTTTCCTATCTTGCGCGCATCATATTTTCACAATGTCCCTACTATCTGAGAGCCTAAACTTTGGCTATTAACTTTAGTGTCGATGCTACAGTACCATCATAATATGAAGATCACAATGAGGTTCGTTTTGTACTCATTACGCCAAGAAAAGCGCTTTCAAGTGGTTTATCATAGGTATGTGGGCACTCTCCCATAGGCACAATTCAAACGTTACTCACTAACTCTGTTGGATTTTACCAACCTAAACTCCTGCTTTGCTCTCTTTGTAGTTGGTCTTCAAGTTCAGCACACTTCTCATCTAACTTCCCTAGCTAGGAAGGACAAATACATATGACAAGTTACTAAGGAACCATAAGTTTAACCTGAGATCAGCCCCAATGTTAGCGGTTCTCATACATTCTCTCTAATGGCCACCGCTTACCCACGGAATGTTATTTACAAAGCGAAAGGAAAATTGAACCTGATCTCAGGTTACCATAAGTTACACCCAGGACTCCCTTTCATGGCCTATTACAGGATGTGCCATTGGACAGGGTATGGTTTTTGGCCTCCCTGTTCTTAACAGGGTATATATTTTGTGCGAGCCCGTCAACAGAATATTGCCTGCACAATTCAGATATGATTTACTCCAAGTATACAAAAGCAATAACTATAACTTGAATTGGCTCTATTGCAATTGCCAATAAATGGCTTTAAAACGAGACTGTGTGCATTTTGTCCTTTGCCCTGAACAGGGTAATAAAATTGAGGCAGTTGACCTAAACAAGATACGTATTTTAGACATTTTTTGTCCTTAAGAGGGTTAGGGTTTCAAACCCTCAGTGGCTCACCTTTACCCAAATATTGCTCCCCCCGGTAACTTTCAATTCACATTGACACCCTCTTAAAGTTCATGAACAATTATTTACCTTGGTGTTAAGATCACTGATCTGTCTTTCTTGAGTTGATACAATAGCATGAAGCGAGGTTTTCTCATTCTCTACGGACTGAAGCTGCAGGGTAAGTTCTTCACTCTTCTTTGACTAAAATACAACAACAACAATTAAAAAATCAATGAAAGAAAATAAAATGATTGAAGAATAAAACGAAAAAGGTGCATGTAAGCCTGTTGTTGTTTTTCTTCATAGAAGAAAGTGGACTCTCTGTAATGTTGGAAAATGAGGTGTTCTTGTTACACTCAGTCTAACATATTATGGCAGAATGATGTAAAAGGAGAACCAAAAAGGACATGGACACTAGAACAGGTACCATGTGCACACTGTTGACTTCCTGTAGTCGAACCTCCACATGTGACCATCTCCCGTTAGTGACCACTGGCCATAAGTGACCACCTTTCCAAAACACCTAAAATATTCTCCGTCAAAGCCTTTCAACGGAACCTCTCGAAAGCGATCACCAAGCCTTTGCATCCTGGGTGTTTGCTCATGGGAGATTAAAATTATTTTTTTCTGATTTGGTTGGGCCATTTTAAAGGACAAACTTGCACCTTGATTGGTCCCTGGGTGTATTCATTTAAGTTCACTTTTAAAAAGACTGCTCTTGATTGAGAACTTATAAAAGGCTGGCATGATTACCTGTGGTACTACCCCTGAGAAATTACCACCTACCCATCCCACCCTTGCCACGAAAGTGTGATCATAACAACCGTTCTCTTTGTGCTTTGTTGATATATGAAGCAAGCTCTCTGGCCAGAGAAAGTCAACACATGCAATGATCAGATGCCATGATTACTTGTGGGACTACCCCTGAGAAATTACCACCTACCCATCCCACCCTTGCCAGGAAAGTGTGATCTTAACAACCCTTCTCTGTCTTTTTGTGCTTTGTTGATATATGAAGGAAGCTCTCTGGCCAGAGAAAGTCAACACATGCAATGATCAGATGGCATGATTACCTGTGAGACTACCCCTGAGAAATTACCTCCTGCCCATCCCACCCTTGCCAGGAACATTTGATCATAACAAACCTTGTCTTTCTCCTTATTGATATACGACGCAAGCTCCCTGGCCAGATTTTCCTTTTCTTTCTCTAAAGTAGCTGTCTGTTCCATGGTCTCCTTCTCTCTGCTCATACTTGCTGCAAGTGATGCTTCAAGATCCTATCACACATGATTGACACAAACAACTATCATGTTAAAAATTACTAACTTGCAGAAACCTTTTGACAGAATCATTGCCCAGCTCACACTCAAATGTAATAACCTCTTTGCTCATTCATTCTTCAAACTGTTGATTGCATGAGTATGTGGATATAAACTGCTACAGGTATTAATTTGTCCATAGCATTATATAAGGTAGCTCCAACACTTGAGCTCAAGTATGATCTCTACAAAGTGGCTTTCTCCAGAGATTAACACTGAAGCTTAGCTACTGAACAACACATGACTAAGAAGCATCAGCAAGACCTGAATTAAATGGGATCAGATTAACTCACTGATCCGGTTTTGTCAATGGCTCTTGATTATCCACAACCACATGGAAGCTCTTAGGAATGCCTTAGCATTGTCTAGTGAAGTTTATTTACATGCAAAAAGTTGGCTTCAATTTTAAGTTTTCTATAAATTGTAGCTGTTAAAGAAAAAATACGCTGAAATACACTAGGTCATTTTATGATCGTCAGCTCTGTTTTACTGAAGTTTATGAGCTTTCCTTACTTGAGGAAAAGGACATTTTATGAGCTTGAATAAATAACTCAATCTATAACACTTGTGGTCAGCTTACAGTCATTTGTGGCTAAAGAGGTTTGATGGGTGAATGCCTTTTTAACTATGACAAGTTTATATACCACATTTACTGATTGACAAAGGACAAGAAGTCAAATAAGCATAAAAGTCAAACAACTGCAGCAATTATACTGTATATAGTTAAATGGATTCCCTACAACAGTCCTCAACATCCAATATAAACAGATCTTGATTTAATAAATTCCTGTTTCACTAAGCTGATACCAAAATCCTAAGCAAATGTGAGAGCAAGTACCTTAGTTTCTTTCTTAGATGTTTCTTGAATTTTTGCATCTTCTTGTAACAGTGTGATATAAAATGGCTCTACACAAGCTCCCCAAATTATGCTTAAGCTCAGCAGGGGGTATCAGTGATAATGAGGTGATAAACTCTTTAAGAATTTTTTGTTTTGTTGACAAAGTAATGGCTTTAATGGACTGTTGTCATTTTGTGATCCACTTTGCCTCAAACAAGGGTAAACAAAGCTTATTGAAATAGGAATCGAGCTAAGCTTTAGAATTCAGTGCAGTCATTTCATTATCAACAAAAGGCTCTGTACAAAATCCTGTAATTTTGCTAATTCAAGTATCTAAATGTCAGTTAATGATAAGCTATTGCAAATTAACTAAATAGCAAAATCTATAGTTAACCTTATACTGGCTTTACAAAACAAACTCTAGGTTATTTGCATAAATCTCAATCACTTTTAGTGTTATTCATCATGATCAAAGCCGTTAAAACAAAATTAATAGCTTAAGAACCAATATCAAGAATTTATTTAAAATATATTTGCATTTTTGAGACTGATAACATGCTTTTTTGGTCACAACATTTACAACTGTGGGTCAATGCATGGCAATAAAATTTTGTTAATTAATTTTATACCACAAAGAGTTCAAAGAACCCTACAAACTACAGGCTATAAGATAAAATAGTTTTGTATGTTACAATCAGATCACCTAAATTAAATTTGCACACAGTAAGTGATCAGCTTCAAAAGAGATGATAAAATTAATATTACTTTTGATAGATGGCATCATGTTAGTTTTAGTGATTAATATGTTTAGCATACATGGAAATTCTTTTTTTACTTCATATTAAATTGCATATCTAGATATCTGAGACTTTTTAACAAAAGATTTCATACCAAAATAAACCAAGAGAAATGAAAGCAGCAACAAAAACTGAGGCAAATTATACTACATACACTGTACACTGTATTTTAATTTCATGGGTTTAATGTGTCATTAACACACACAAGGCTAACAAAATAAATACATAAAAGTAATGCTCATGTTAGTTCTGAAAATTGGCTGAAATTCAGTACAAATGAGTTTTCTAAAGGTTGTTGAACATTAAGTTGTAAATTAACCTTTCTCAAGTCGACAATCTGTTCCCGTAGCAGTTCTTTCTCTTCCTCTGCACTCTTGCTGCGGCCAAACTGAGCATTCAACTTTTCCTGATAATTTGTCTCATTAGCTTGGTGATCAGACATAGTCTATAAACAGTTTGTAAAACAATAGGAATCAAGTTTTGTAACTTTTCAAAGTACAAAATTGACAAGAAGGACATGAACACGGTCTGTGCAACTGATTTTGCATAATCCCATTCAAATATTTCAAATAATATTGATCAGACTTGACAATATCACAAGCTAAGGTAGATGAATGGAATTAAACAGAGCAATTATTGATTCTTCATTCTTCCCTGCTCCTTTCAACATTCAGTCTAATTAGCAGTCTTAAATCTAATAACAGGAGGAGATCTTTTAACTTAGCTTAGCTTTACAGTTTTTCGTAGATGATAAAGAAGTGTTGCCTCAAATTTCAGTTTTAAAAAAGCATTTCTGTTGCCAAATATGAGTTGAGTGCAAGTATTGTGTACAAACTTGTTCTCAATATCCACAAGTAGTTTTTTTCAGGCCATTTTGGTATACATCACCTAGTAAAGGTACTGCATAATTTCAACAAAAGTCAGTTAAGTACTACACGTACAAATAAGGCTATAGCTTTCAATTAATAATCACAGAGCTCAGGGATACAGGAATAATCAACTGAACAATTACTTTTTAATAACTGACATTAGTTAAGGCCAATACTCTGCTGTCTATACAAAACTACATTACACACCCTGCCAGGGGAGGGGGATGGGGGAGACAATGCACTGTTATTTGACGGGGTTTTCTACCTATATCTCACCTTATTAAGTTTGAGTTTTGTTTCTGACAGCTCTTCTCTTAATTTTGTTGCTTCATCCGTGGCCCTTGCAAACTTTGCCTTCAGTGTATTAAGCTGATAAAGAGCAACACAATATTAACATAAGTTGGATTAAGTATAGCAACTTTCAACTTCCTGTCATTGCAGCCAAAACTGTTGAGGTTGCTGGACTTAAAAGTACAAAGTGTTCTATCAGTTTTAGTTTATGAAATCCAAAACATAAAGATAAGGAAGCAAAAAAAGATGAATATCCAGTTTTTTACTATTTTCGTAAAAGTATCATATAAGAAAAAGTCAGTACAGATCTGGGAAAAATTAATCCAAAACTTTAAATATAATTATTTGNATTAACCTTTCTCAAGTCGACAATCTGTTCCCGTAGCAGTTCTTTCTCTTCCTCTGCACTCTTGCTGCGGCCAAACTGAGCATTCAACTTTTCCTGATAATTTGTCTCATTAGCTTGGTGATCAGACATAGCCTATAAACAGTTTGTAAAATGATAGGAATCAAGTTTCGTAACTTTTCAAAGTACAAAATTGACAAGAGGGACATGGACACGGTCTGTGCAATTGATTTTGCATAATCCCATTCAAATATTTCAAATAATATTGATCAGATTTGACAATATCACAAGCTAAGGTAGATGAATGGAATTAAACAGGACAATTATTGATTCTTCATTCTCTCCTGCTCCTTTCAACATTCAGTATGAATTAGCAGTCTTAAATCTAATAACAGGAGGAAATCTTTTAACTTAGCTTTGCTTTACAGTTTTTTGTAGATGATAGAGAAGTGTTGCCTCAAATTTCAGTTTTAAAAAAGCATTTCTGTTGCCAAAAATGAGTTGAGTGCAAATATTGTATACAAACTTGTTCTCAATATCCACAAGTAGTTTTTTCAGGCCATTTTGGCATACATCACCTAATAAAGGTATTGCATTTCAACAAAAATCAGTTAAGTACTACATGTACAAAAAAGGCTATAGCTTTCAATAAATAATCACAGAGCTCAAGGATACAGGAATAATCAAGTGAACAATTACTGATATTAGTTAAGGCCAATACTCTGCTGTCCATACAAAACTACATTACACACCCCGCCAGGGGAGGGGGATGGGGGAGGCAATGCACTGTTATTTGAAGGGGTTTTCTACCTATATCTCACCTTATTAAGTTTGAGTTTTGTTTCTGACAGCTCTTCTCTTAATTTTGTTGCTTCATCTGTGGCCCTTGCAAACTTTACCTTCAGTGTATTAAGCTGGTAAAGAGCAACACAATATTAACATAAGTTGGATCAAGTATAGCAACTTTCAACTTCCTGTCATTGCAGCCAAAGGGGTTGCTGGACTTAAAAGTACAAAGTGTTCTATCAGTTTTAGTTTATGAACTCCAAATCATGAAGATAAGGAAGCAAAAAAAGATGAATATCCAGTTTTTTACTATTATTTTCGTAAAATTATCATATAAGAAAAAGTCAGTACAGATCTGGGAAAAATTAATCAAAAACTTAAAATATAATTACCTGGAAACCTGCATACCATTAGCATAAACTTATAAGGTTTTAACCCAAAATCTCTCTTGCATAAACAATTGTGTTTGTTTGTTTGTTTGCTTCTTATGCTTATCATTGTATACCTCACGCTCTGCCTAGAAGTACAATGTACCCCCCTATGTTCAACAAATTATTTGCTTTGTCCAGTTAATATGGTGATCTGGACAGACGATGTTCTTTTTAAAAAAGTATTGCGTGCCTGTTTTAAATTTTTCAGTTAGAATTTAGAATGACTGCTAACCTCATCTTTCGAAGACTTGTCCTTTAATTCCATATCCTCTTCTTTCTCTGCGAGTGTTCTCTCTGCCTCTCCTAGCTGTAACGTTAAATTCTCAATCTGCTTAATGTGCCGTTCAACTGTATCATCTGCTGTTTTGAGACGTTCTTGGAGACTGTTTTTTTCATCAGTTAGCTGTTGTATCCTTATTTCCTGTCTAGTAGATTCACAATATTCTCAGAGATACATGCAATTGACTACTTAAACAGTACTTAAATGTGCATAGATAATCAAAATCTCTGATCACTAACCACAAAAAATTCACTAAAAAAACAACTACTAAGTTATTAATTGTTGTTTTTCAACAATTATTGTTGTTAGTAACTTGTTATAATGAATTATTGTAGAAGTACATAACACAAATTAATTTATCTGTAACTTACTTCTGAGTTGATGATTTGGCTTCACTCAAAACACTGTTCTGTGTGTATGAGATTAAAACAGGTTTAGTGCAATATTAGACCAAAAACTGCATTAGCTTTGCCAGTTTATCAAAGATCTGTTCAAGGGGGGCCAACACGGAAGAAAATGTAAAGTGATCTCAACCTGGTAAACATGCATGGCAGATACATGTATGACCTTCATTAATAATAATTCCTGAGTCATGGGAAAGATACCCTAAAATTCCGAAAATAAGCCCCTGGTCTTATATTTTTCAAAGGCCCTTTTTGAGAGGCTTATTTTTGGAGGGGCTAATATTCGGAGGGGCTTATCTACGGAGGGAAATTTGCATCTAAAAACCAATTGGGCTAGCCTTATTATAGTTGGAATTAAATTTACCATTTTTGCTTTGTTTTACTTTGTATTTGAGGGTAATTTTCCAAGTACAAGCCCCCCAGGGGCTTATATTTGGAGGGGCTTTCACATGGAGGGGCTTATTTTCAGGATTTTACGGTATGTCATTATCATTTGAGACAAACAAAGTGATAAATAACAATGTTTATATAGCCTGTGCCACAGACGAAACTAAACCCTGGCTTAAAGTCAGTCTGCAAAACAGCCCCAAAATTCTTGTTCTAGGACTCCACCTGGGTACCAGAATTTGAGTACGCGCCATGATTGGCCTGTTAAAAAAGCCACTGTCGATTTGCCAATCAGGATGCAAGGAAATTCGAAATGCACTTCCAGTAATTCATTGAGTCCGCTGGGGGCCCACAAGTTAATAGTTTTGGTGCTGCTTTGCAGATATTACTAACCGGGGTTAAATTACGTCTGTGACGCAGGCCATGTTTATAGTACACAAGAAAAAATTAACCCTTCCAAAAAACCCAAATGTTTATAGTCAAGAGGAATATGGAAATTACAAAGTACCTTTTCAGAAGTAAGTTGAGCTTCTCTATCCCTTATTGTAGTAAAATCCTTCTGTACTATTTGAAGCCGGCTTTCAATGGTCTTCCTCTCTCCTTCTTGGGTTTTCAGTTTTACCTAATGATGATGCATGTGCAGAGCAAAACACACAAAACAACATTTTTGCAAATGGGCAACAATTAATTATTATTGGGAGATGCATTATTGTAATGCACAATATTATCAGCTACTGTGAGCATATGCAGCAACTAACCTCTGTCTCTTGAAGCTTTTGCTTTGTTCCTGATAGTTCAGTTTTGAGCTTCCTGATGGATGCTTCTTGGCTGATTTTACTCTTATTTAACTCTTCTTTTTCTTTCTCAATTTCTTCCTCTAGTGACTGCACCTGTACATCAAGGGACAACAGACGTTAACACTGTAAACATACATGTACACTCTATGCAAACTGGTATTTTGACACGCAGACTGAATTTTAACCTGCACTGGGAAAAAAAACGAGGACAAACTTCCTTGTGTCTTGTGAATTGTCCAAATGTAATTTCAATGCATGATCCATTAAAAAGACTCTTTAGTACAGGAGTGAAAAATAATGATAATGTTGCAAAAAGAACTTACAGTGGTCTGTAAAGATGTTTTTTCCAATTCAATAGATCTCATTTTGCTCTTTAACTCCTCCACTTCAGCCATAACCTTGTCAGCTTTACTTCCATGGACAGCAGATTTTTCTTTCTCTTGTTCTCTCTCTTCTAGCAACTTAAGTTTTTCTCCTGTGGAGAGGGTAAAAGGTGAGTCATGCATTTTTTTTTTTACATTACTGTGCTTTTCACAAATACGCAAACTTTAAAATTTAAAAGTACCCTTCCCAATTGCGTTTCTCACTGCCCTCAATCATAATTACATTCACAAGCAACGAACCTTGAAACATGGAAACACACAAAACAGATAGAAATCCACCAATCACAGATCACAAAGTTACCATGACCTTTTGAATATTGTCACTTGGCCTTTGAACTTCAGAGTTCGCATGTTTTTGAAAAGTGCAGTAAATTAAAGAAGTGGAAAGTAATATTATTTTGCTCTGCACTCAATAAATGATCCCACATACATGTAAGTACAGTGTTCATTCCAGAGCTCCACTCAAAGGGAACTCAGGGATATTAAAGGGTGGGGGTTTCATGAGCTGAAGTACTGGCATGTAAAATCATAAGGACTTTTCACCAAAATATTTTAAACAGATGCACTTTATTGGTGCATCATTTATAATTATTAATTTGTTTAACACTGTACATTGTCAAGGAGACTTCTTGCTTAAGGTATGGGGGAAGGGGTACCACTTTTAAATTAAGGTACACAGAAAGGGAACATTCTCCATCAAAAGTAGTACAGCAACACTGGTAAGGGGTTAGACCTTGGAGCTACAACCGGAAGCCTCCCCTAGCTTCTATTTAACTTTGTTGAGTAGCCGTTACAAAATATAAATAAAAACATACCTTGGTGTCTGTTAATAAGTTCTGTCATATCTGCATTATGTTGTTTCTGTGCTTTCTGCAGCTCTGATCTCAGACCATCGTTTTCCTCTGTAACCTTCTTCATTTCCTGTTCATGAATCTTCCGCTCCTCCTGTTTAACTTGCTTCATCATTTCACGCATCCTGTTCATCTCATCTTCCATGTCTTTCCTCTCCTCTTCCATAATTTTCATCATCCGCTGGTTGGACTGTTCAGTATCTGAATTCTTTTTGAGATTTTCATTGTCAAGTTCTAGTCTACGTACCTTTTCCGAGAGAGATGTTCTTTCTTTAATCAAATAATTCACTTGTTCCTTTACAGGGTTGGTATCTCTTCCAATTTGTGTCAAACCAGACTCTATGAGCATGTCACAGATGTCTTCTGAAATATAAGCTCCAGCTTCTTTCTCCACCTTCATTTGTTCAAGCTCTGCTTTCAGCTGTTCATTTTCAGCCTCCAAGTCTTGTGTTAAAGCCTCTCTCTCATCTGAAAGCTGCCGGATGTGTGCAACATAGTTTTCCACTTCAATCATTTCCTCACCATGTTGCTTGCGGAGCTGTTCAACACTCTCAAGAGAGGACTTGAGACTGGCTTCGGATCTCGTAAACTGCCTCCAAAAGTAACGAAGTTTGTGTTCAACTGGGATGTTAGTTCTATAACCATCTTTTTGAAGCCTGTCATCAATGTCTTCAAGTTCCCCTGCATCCTAAAATGGGAAAAAAATTGAACATGTCATAGTAGGTTAGTTTAGTTTGGTCAAGTGCTTACTAGGACAACATGGATTCTCTCGCCCAAGTCACTTTAGTCTGGCATTGCCATTCTGAGTTCTCTGACAGTGGTGAACCCAGTGTCCTGAAGCAGAGTGTGTATGTCTGTGCTCCTAGGTCTACTCATAACATACATGTAACATGTCATACTCTAATATTACACTACCCCTTCTTCATTCTTATTCTAACATGGCCTCACATATTATTTCCAAATAATACAATTTTGAAAGGACTGTTTTCATGATTTTCAAGACCTTTTTCAAGGGTTTCAAAAGAACCAGTTACCACGGGTCAACCACAACCCATAGAGGACTTCTTACCACTTATTAAAACTTTTGTTTCTAAGATTGGTAATGGTCTCTTTCCAGGTCATAGCTGCCTATCCCACCATTGGCAACTGCTTACACTGGGAAAAGAAATTAATTCCCCTGCTTTTTACACAACCAAATGTTATTTAATAAGACCTTTTAGCCCCTCTCTAAGTTGCTGGATTAGTTTTTGGTAGTACAAAAGTTCAACTCAACAGTAACGGAAGTGTAAATAGACAATTTAGTGCCCTGGGCCAGTTGGGATTCCTACTTGTTCAGTTCATTTCAACTCTTCCTTTCTGTTCTCATTTGTGAGGTACAGTGTACAATGTAAACTGCTGGATTACCAATTCTCTCTTTAATTTTCTTTCGGAAAGGCAAGTTGGCAAATGTATATATATATTTCTGACTATTCTGAAATTCAAAACCAATCACAAAATGTTTGGGGGAAGCCATGTCCTTGTTTGTAGTTGTCTTTTTTACCATCACCACTTTACTGCTGACTGTTTAGTGGGAACGATTTACATATATTTATTATTCTGTCTATTCTTGAAAGTTGCAGTCGCTATATTTGAATAGTCTCTTTATTCTCCTGATGTGACAATCAGATTATGAGAAAATTAAGACACAAGCCTAAGTGGAAAACACATCTGGAGAAGAATATTACAGCTGAACAGTTAGATCCTTTTCATGAGGCGAGTTGACAGGAAATGAGAATTTTTATGAGAAATGTAGCATTTGATGAAAAAAGAACTACGGAGCTGAAAATATAAAGTTATGTATTTTAATTCACTAGTTGAATTGACGTTTATTAATCTGTTTGTTTGTTTTCGACATTCACTTGCAACACTACGCTCGCACAATCAAGCGATAATATCAATATCAACCACTTTATTTGAAGGTAAAACATCTGAATATTGGTGACCCGGCGAGAAAAGTAACCGCATCATACTCGTGATACGTCAATTTCATGAGTTTCCTTCATCACACCACGACAGCCAGATGGCTTCCAAGGCGTCGCGGCGTTTTAAATTATTCAGTATTTAGTAAACTACTAAGTGGCTGCAAAGAACCTGTACAACTGTCAATAATTCAAGGTATTAACAGTTTACCTTTAAAAATGATGAGTTACTATGTCTTACACAGCATGAAGAAAAATAACAAACGAGAAAGGAATGTGAAGCTTATAAGAGCAGTTCATTAGCTTACCGACTCCAATATTATGAGGCTTGACATATTAGCCGCGGGATGCTATCGATTGTTATCCTACATTGCCACTTCAAGCTCAGATAGCCATTCTCGAGATCTATCCATTAAAGGGACGCTATATCGCTGGATTCTACTCTATATTGAACATAAAACTTTGTAACCAATGTCAACAAATGCACAACTGAGTGCACATTCAACATCACGGGAGACAAGATGCGGTAAAAGCGCAAAAGAGACTGGGGACGAATACCGATTGCACCCCATAATGCACCGCAATCGTTTCCCGCTTAAAATTGATTATTGCGGGAAGCTAATAAGCACTTTTTTTGAGAGTGCACCATCCCGGGTATGTATCGATCGGTCGTCTTTTTTTTCTCGCGTTTAAATGGCTGACAGATTTTCGGCCAAAGGCGGATCACAAAGACTTGGCCGAAGACGGACACCGCGTATGAAAAGTCCCTGGCACCCAGGGGAGTATGGTACATATGGTGTAGGCGTTTTGTGATGTTAGAGAGATTAAGCATCGCGCTTACGGCAAACGGCAAACGTGAGATTCAAGTCGAGAAATTTTAAAAACGAAAAATGAGGAGATAAAAACAGCTTAAAACAATTGTTATGGATAGAATTGGCGTGAATCTACCGATTTTCGTGTAGTCTTACTGTGAAAAGTAATGAAATTAACAGTAAACGATATAAAGTAGATAGGAAACTTGGTCACGTGGTACAAATTCACGTTTGCTGTAAACGCGACGAGAAAATAGCTTCTAAATTTCTAGCCTGTTCCGAGCGTTCAGATAGTGGAGAGCGGTGCGAAGTAAAGAAAGCAATGAAAAGTAGAGGGGGACTGGGGAGAGAGGTGCTGAAACTCTCTCACCTCTCCTCCTCCCTCGCTTTTATTTTTTCGCGCTCCTTTTTACTTCGCCCCGCTCCCCACTATCTGAGCGCCTGGAACAGGCTACTAAATTTCCAGACCTGCACAGGTACTCCCTGTGATGACTATGATCAGGAGCTGCTATGATGGACTTAACGGGGATTCTCCACGAACGTCTGGCTAAAGTAGGAACACATAACTGAGAGCTAGAGCAACGCATATATTATGGGTTGGTCCTGAGGAGGTATATATCTGTTATATGGGTTCCCGTGGAGGTATATATTAGGAAAGTACAAGTATTGAAATATGACAAACGCCAAGTTGAGATAACAAGTACCATTAAGGCATTCAAAAGGAATGTGTTGCCACGGTAACCACTTAAAACGGACAGATAACAACTATTTTGGTTCAACACTCACTGAAAAATCCAACTCTACAAATTACTGTTATGGCTTTGGCTTACTTTTTTGGTACGAACCACCTTAAGCGAGAAAACATCAAATATAAAAACCACAGTACTGCAGTTTAGGTTAGAAGCTCCCTGAAGGTGCACAATCCTTTTTTTTCCATGTCGGCAAATTGCGACGGGATAAATTTTATTGGTCAGTATGAGTCAGCAAGATCAAAATGATGGGAATGCTATTGAACGTTGTGCACCGTCAGGTTCACAAAAAATATATCACAAAGGAGTCTGTTGGGTTTCACAACCATTCCAATCTACTAACTATGATTGTGGTTATTTTTCACTACGTCAAGGGATAAGGACAACAGCATTCAACAAACACTTTATTTGAAATACTTTCCATACACATCCTTTTTGTGTAAATTTTTATTTGTAAATTCCCAATGAGCTGAAAAATTATGGGGAAAATGCAATTAAATCTGTTAAAAAGTTTGATTAAAAAAAAATAACTCTTAATTCTCGCAATAAAATAGGGTCATAAGTCTTTTTTTCTCAAACAATAATGACTTGATGATACATACATTTATTTATTTATAAGATAATTGCACTACGCGATTGTTTAGGAGGACAAATTATGACACAGTTTCCAGAAAAGTCTCGAAATAGCCAATAAAAAAGCGCCGTTACTTCGCCCAAAACAATCTCACTATGCAATTATACACAAAACTGACCTAGTCTCACAAACAACCTCAAATGGCCACTGATGGAGATCAAAATAAGACAACATGTTGCTGTGTGGTGGTTTCGATATGAAGTTATTCAAACCACCAGAATTTGGCAAAGATTTGTCTAGAATGTTTCCAAACACTAATGATGTTTTAAACTAAATGAAAAAGCTAAATGAAACTTTATATCTTGAAGTCATATTCCAACCACTTTTACTGTCCAATGGCCTTAGATAGATCTTAAACGCGTTTGAAATATTTCCGACAAGCGTCATATCTCTCAACATGTTTAATTTAAGCGATAAAAATAAGTAGGGCTCACTGTAAGAGAGCTACAACGAGATCTAAATTTGGCATCTTATCTTACAGCCTTACTTCTTTATGGTAAACTCCCAAAAAATCCGGTATACTTTTCAAGCAGCTCCTCTAAAGCCCACAACCTTTTAACATACTTTGCCCTTCTGCGGTATATCCTTTACCAGAATGAGAACTGACATCATTCGTTTCATGATATAAATTAAGTTATCTTGTGCCAAATTTTATCTAGTCATTCTGAAAGTTTTCTTAAGGAAACAGGTTAGAGCATAATGTAGACAGTCTTGCATAATAGAGTTTAGACTATGACATCAACGGTTTTAAAATTCCGGCGAATCAGACAAGAATTGATGCGGGCTGGCAATTGGAGAGACCACCTTCTCCTCGGAGATACTTGTGTCACTGATGTCAGATACCCTGAGCTCTTTCTGTATGCTTGCGATATCATTGTCAATTTCCTCTATTTCGGCCTCGAGGTCCTCTAAAACAAAAGGATAATTAAAATAACCAAGTTACATTTGTTTTCACCCTAAAGACCCATCACTTACAGTTTGGTGGAAGTACGTTCATCGCTCGACGTAGAGCATACTGTTCTCAGGTTCTATTTTAAGAGTGAAACGATGGGTTATTTTCTGCAAATCAGAAAGATCTGTTTAGCCCGAAAAATGGGGCCATGTTGGTAAGTAAAATACAGTCCTGTTTTTGGGTCTAATTTGGCTCCTTTAAATCAGGGCATCCTGATCAGGGCCAATACCATCCAATTACCTAGGGTTGATTCTGATTTGGACCCAGGGGCTGAAGGGGATCCAGCGTGGACTAAAAGAGCCTTTTGATGGAGCTGTTTTGTCCTAAATGGGGCTCAAATGGCCAGGAGGGGCTGAATCAGACATTTTAATTTTCAGTGTATGTTCTGTCTTTATAAGTACTTTCAAGATTTAGAGAAATAAAAAAATAAAGTAGGACACTAGGTATATATTTACATGCTACCAAAGGGTTCACTTCGGAGAAATCTAAGAGCTATGGTCGGAAAATGACATTCTAACCTGGTAAGATGTCTGTAGCTTGATGACGTTCAGATTCCTTTGACTTTTCACTCTGAGAATGAACCATTGTCTGTGGGGATTTGCTCTTTAATTTCATTCCTTTTGTGGTTCCAAGTGGTTTCGTTTCAGTGTTTGACTCTGCTTTTGGTTCACTTCCCTCCTTACGAAGATCGTTTTTATCGCCTTTTTTTACGGCAAGCGCTGGGCTAACAAACTGGGGTTTCAAAAGTTTAGGCATTTTAGGTCCTTTGCCTTCCTTCGCTATAGGAGGCTTAAAAGCTTTAACTAACTTCGGTAAAGGCTTCTTTTGAGTAACTTTTTCAGTCAAGGATACTCGCACATCTGTATTGGCAGAAGATCTTTTAAGAGTAAAGCCTGAGTTCTGGGGTTGTGGATGGCTTTCTGGGTGCAAACCGTCTCCAGATGTTTCTTTTTGGCCAGACCCTTCTGAACTCGAGGTTAATTCTTCACTACCTTTTCCTGACTCCAGTCCTTCGTTCCCTTTTTCGGAACTTCCCGCTGTTTTCTTCTTTTCATTTTTATTTGTCCTATTCTTGTGACTTCCAGAATCTTTTTCCTTATCTACTCCATTTCCCCCGCTTTCAGGACATGGACCTTCAGCTTTGGTGCCATCTCCAGTAGGCCTATCCCGTTCTTTGGTTTTACTAACGGCTCCCTCTCGTTGGTTTTCTATGGAATCGGCAAGATTAGACGTGCTAGGTGAAACGGAATTATCCCGTTTCACCTCCTCCCGCACAGCAATGTCAGGAGGATCTTTTTCTATCTTCGCAGCAACTTTTTTCTTCTTCTGATTACTTTCCTCACACGCTGTTCGCTTCTTTTGTGTTTTCAGTAAAGTGTTTAAAGTCATGACGTTGGCATCTGCCTTTTCATGTTGTTTGATTTTAACAGAATTTTCCAAAACGCTGATATTAGAGTTATCCTCCTTGCTTTTCTTAGCATTCTTTCTACCTCGCACTTCATCAGACTTCTTCCTCTTTTTAACAAGTTTTGCTTTTAAACTGTCTGATTCAACCAACTTCTTGGCACTTGGTTTAGTCGTACTCCTTTCATTCTCACATATGGTGTCCTCAGAATATATCTTACTGTTCAAAGTATTGGGAACAGGGGCCTCACTGTGATTACTGAGCAGCATTTCTGTGTTTTTATTCTTGCCTTGATCTCCCTCCGTAGGTTGTTCAGTATCCGTTTGCATCTCGATATTCGTACTTGTACTACTACTTTGAGGTGCTAATTCTACGAGAAATAAAAAAAATAAGCGACGCAAACATTAGTGAACGTGCTAACGTGTATCTATGCTACTCTTTAGTACAGTGCTGGAGAAGTTACTGACTTAGACTTTCCAAGTGAATGTAAGGCTAGGTCACACTTTGGTTTTTCTGTGTTGGTGGGCACGGGGAATCCTAGAATAACTGAGAACTTATGACAGGGTCAAAATTCCTTTACTAAACATTCGGTTTTGAAAGAGCACTGTACTTTCAGCATTGCAGTGTTACCCATACCTTATCTTCTTAAAAATCAAGTTACTAGATATAATTTTCATGGTGTAAAGAAGCCTTCAGTCCAGCATTGTCTGTCGAGGATATTTTAATTGTTAAATCGTTTCTAGGTTTTTTTTTTGTTATTACATGTGATACGATCTAACTATAATTTCCAACAATTTCCTTAAATTCACAAATATAAGTTAATGTACCTTTACTTCCATTAGTTGTTATAGAGGCGTCCGCGATGGCTTTCTTCGCTTCCTTCTTCCCTGCCTTTTCCTTTCTGCCAGCAGAATCGGCTGGTTTAGTTTGTTGCATTTTCTTTTTCTCACTCTTGATCGGTGTTTTAGCTGTCTTTTCTTTGCGTGTTTTGGACTTGAGTGGGGTTTTTGGTTTCAATCTTTTAGGTTCATCTGGACTGCTATAACTGTTTTCACTGATGAAACTGTTTCCGCTGCTACTGAACTCCTGACTTGATGAATCTGTAACTGTAAAATAAAACATTCAACTTTACTTCGTTAGTCATGAAAACCCAGAATTCAAACATTCTTCTGGAAACATTTGTAGTAATTTTTTCTATACCCCTTAAAAAAGAAACATTATTACTTAGCATTTATTGCCACAAGTGAGGATAGAGGTCTTTTATCCTCTCGTGATCATGAGAATCTTTACAAAACAAGTCCATACAAACAAAAGGCATAAGGTGTCAAACTTTATCTTTCAGGGTAATGCATGGAAACCAATTTTACTACCCCAAGATTTTGTCTGCCCTATTCCTGTCTCTAGAAAGAAGTGAACAACGCCAGGAAAGTACTATCAGATCACTGGAAATGTCATCTAATTCAAATGCATAGACCAACAAATACTGTTTTAATCATCACCATTTAATTCCACCCATTTCCTTTTCCTACCCGAATCACTAAGTTCTCCTCTCTCTAGACTGATCGACCGTTTACTCTCTTCAACTGCCTTTCTACCAATAGGTCCTTTGTAGCGTGCTGCAAAGCCATATTCTGCAAGCCGACGCTGTAAATGAAAATAGCTTTTTTNTTAGTTTGTTGCATTTTCTTTTTCTCACTCTTGATCGGTGTTTTAGCTGTCTTTTCTTTGCGTGTTTTGGACTTGAGTGGGGTTTTTGGTTTCAATCTTTTAGGTTCATCTGGACTGCTATAACTGTTTTCACTGATGAAACTGTTTCCGCTGCTACTGAACTCCTGACTTGATGAATCTGTAACTGTAAAATAAAACATTCAACTTTACTTCGTTAGTCATGAAAACCCAGAATTCAAACATTCTTCTGGAAACATTTGTAGTAATTTTTTCTATACCCCTTAAAAAAGAAACATTATTACTTAGCATTTATTGCCACAAGTGAGGATAGAGGTCTTTTATCCTCTCGTGATCATGAGAATCTTTACAAAACAAGTCCATACAAACAAAAGGCATAAGGTGTCAAACTTTATCTTTCAGGGTAATGCATGGAAACCAATTTTACTACCCCAAGATTTTGTCTGCCCTATTCCTGTCTCTAGAAAGAAGTGAACAACGCCAGGAAAGTACTATCAGATCACTGGAAATGTCATCTAATTCAAATGCATAGACCAACAAATACTGTTTTAATCATCACCATTTAATTCCACCCATTTCCTTTTCCTACCCGAATCACTAAGTTCTCCTCTCTCTAGACTGATCGACCGTTTACTCTCTTCAACTGCCTTTCTACCAATAGGTCCTTTGTAGCGTGCTGCAAAGCCATATTCTGCAAGCCGACGCTGTAAATGAAAATAGCTTTTTTTATTTGAAGAGAAAGAAAGAAGTAATAGTTAGTTATCTTTAAAAATTGGGGACCTTATGACAGGGTGGTATCTGCCAATCAGAGCAGAACCAAAGAGTTGGTATATATGATGAGAAGAATCAATTTTGCTAAGCCCGGGAACGAAGTTTTCTTTGACGCACCTGTCTCCTGACTCCCTAGGAGTTATGTCATGTTGTGGCTATTAAAAAAGACATACTAAAATAATTTTTAACAATTGAGAAGCACACCAGCCATTTGGCAAATGTATGACAGTGCTCCTAACCCAGCTTTTTTCAAAGTCGCCTTTTGGCAACCTAAAATTATAAAATGGTCGCCAGACATAAAATATTTTTTGTGCTACACTACATGAAGGTTTGAAAGAATCAAAATGGCTGCCGAACAATCGCAATCGAATTTGGGCAAAGGTACACGCGACATCTCAAGGCTTAATACCCACAGAACTAGGGTGAAATTAGGCAAATTATAAAGAAAACAGAGCATAAATGATATTTAATTCAAATGTCTGTCTCACTTTAACTTAAAAAGACCAAAAACACTAACTACTAGGAAAACGCATCTCGCAAAATCTCGGGAATTTGGCATATGATCGCTGAACATAGGCCTCCAAAATGGCGACTTTTACTGCAATTTTAGTCGCCATTTTTTTTCTACTCACCCAAAACGGTCACAGATTGGAGCACTGTTCAATGAACTCCTGCTCACTAGTCACAGTTTTGATACCGTGACTCCGCATCATCTGATGAAAACCAGCATTACCTGGTTACGATCTATGACAAAGTCACTCGGTTTGGTGAGACAAACGAGTTTCATTACAAAAAGGTATTTGCATAGCATGGTACCTGAAGAGGCAACTGTGCTGCCCTCCGTGCTGCCAGGGTAGCTGCGGTGAGCTGTCTTCTGTAAGTCTTCCCTTTAAATGTAACCTGGATTTCAAAGTATTTAGATATAGAGAAAGTACGAAATAATTCGCAAATCCGACCGCCTGAAAGATACTTTTCTTGCGAGAGCAACTGAATCCGGCACCAACCTGAGAGAGTTGCTTTGGGACGCCTTAAGTTAAGTTCAGAGCTGTCCCCTAACTTCCTTCTAATAGTTGGAGGGGGTATATGTTGCTATGTTAATAATTAATAGTTCTAGCTGGCAAATCATGGCGAAAACAAGAGACGTCTATGGCGTCTTTGAGAAAATGCTTTATTTGCAGAATGATGTTGCTAACATAATATAATTATGACAACAGAATTGCATATATCACAATTTTCTGTCCACTACTTAAGTTATTTCAACCCTCATATTATAATACAATTTGACGAGCGGATTTCTCCGAAACACTAATTAAACCACATTACAAGAGAACACTTGTACTGAGTGTAGTCGCTAAACTGACCTTCCCCATGTCCTCTGGGTCGTCATCACAGGAAAAGTTACGGATACAAACGGCATTCACCCAAGTTCGCGAAACTTCTTTATCGAAAAATACCACGTGGTACATCTCCTGAAATCAGATAGTTCACAATTAATAGATGATGTCAAAATATACTGTTGTCACGGGACTTATCTCCCTGATTTATGAAAAATATTATAACCTAATGGAAGTCCTATATATCTTTCCGATGATTTTTAAAGTGAAACCGATATTTAACCCGATTTAGCCAAATGTATCCTTTACGGAATAAGTCAAACATAATACTAATAAACAACATTTAAAATATAAAGAGGTGAAGTATGAAAAGTGATCTTGAGTGATTGCTGACAAATTTTATCTGATCAAGTTGAAATGAATATTGACATATATTGTTGTAGGAAGCTTTTTAGGTTCTGGAACATTTTAATTGTTCATTATGAGTGTGAAATAAGATATAAAACACATTTGCTAATGAACTCTTTATTTAGAAGAATAAATATTAAAAAGTGTGCTTCCCTGCATCACGCACAGAATCAGAACATGTACGTCATTCTTTAGTTGGTTACTAACCAAGGGTAACTCCCATCTATACCCCCATGTACCTCTAAATCACTCTTTCTGCATTCCAAGACTTTAGGACTGTAACTAAGTTAAGACTTTCTCATTTCGTGTGTTCGTGAGTAAATAAGGTTTTTGAGAATGGGACATCATGTCTTCTGACTTGATGTCCCTCGGAAAATACTTATCTTTTAATGGACACTTTTAGTAATTTACGAAGGAAACTTGCGTTTTAAGGCTAGTGTTTGTTGACAAAGTTTTCCGTTTTTTAGGTATTGATTAATTAAAGGTAGGAAGTTTTGTCCCATCTATTTATCTTGTTTCCACATTTATAAATATGGGAGTTGTTCTTTGTTTACCATTAGCGAAGTTTGTGTCTTTGAGTTTTACCTTTAAAAGGTCCAACAACTTTAAAGTAACTGTGTAAAAGTGTGTTTCTTTTACTGAACTTTACTTAGTTAGTTTTCCTTAGTAGTTATCCTGCTCCAGAACTGAAGAAAAGCTTTTCAAAGAAATTTTAGGTTACGAAGTAATCGTATGCTAATTAGAACGTAAATATATCCTACGCATTATTATTAACGTAAACATATTATGGACAACCAAACAAATAAATAGAGACCTGTTGAAAAGTAAGCTTTTAGAAGAAGGTGTAAGCAGTTATAGAAAAAGAGTAAGCAAGAGAACTGCCAAGAAAAAGGATAACTTGAATAAGGACGTTGCTAAGGAAGTTGAAGAATTGTAAAGTGAAAGAGTAAGTCACTCAGAAATAAAGTATATAACCTAGTACTTATTTGGTTGTGAGAGTCACTTCCGCGCCTCTGGAGTACCCCCGTAGCACTGTATCCGGATTATTCGGAAAATCTCAAAAACGTTGCCTGGTAGCTGTTTTATTATACATCTTTTGCAAAGGGAATAATGACGAAGCACTGTCACAAGGAACAAAGTTAAATATTTTCCAAAACAAATTAAAGAGTAGAAATGATATAACTTCACATGACTGTTGGAAATCATGCACTTAACTCAACCTAGAGATTATTCACTTATTCGCGACAAAATTTTGTTGTTTTTAAGTTGCGCTGATTTCCAAAGTTAAGTGTAGGCTCTTAGCCAATGAGAAGGCGGATTGTGACTACAATATCAGTAGAATTATGATGTACAATAATAATATATTGAAGGCATGACTGTAGCAGTTGCTATTCAATTCAGTAAGGGCTCTTCTATATCTACTGAGTTAGGGTAACAGACATTGCTTGCTATTAATTCCCGACGTTTGGCGCGCATTTACCGGTGTGACATTGTCTTCACCCGTTTCACAGTAGTAACCATAATCTGGGTCGTCCTCCATCATTGCTGGCCACCTGGCAATGAAAGGGAATTATACTGAGACTGTTATTGCCACCCTTAATTTAAATTTGCAATCACAACAGAAATCTCCCACAGACAAATACCTGACTGTCTTCAGGACTTACCAAGTAGATTGTTTGTTTTACCTGTTTCTAATTACGGGTGAAGATCACTTTAGGTTTACTGACAGATCGGTTATTAGAGACTTGCTCCTTTTTCAAAAGCAGTCTAATGAAAAGAGTTTGAAATCGCCCCACCCACCCAAAACCGTTCGTTTCGCTCCCTTTTCCGCAAACACCGACTATACATAAATGTAATTCATAGCATTTACATAAAGGAATACGTAATCCCTTTGGTATGTCTACCAATGATGAATATAGTGGGCAATTTTATTTGAATGACCGCTTATGATAATGGATGTAATAAAATGACCTATTGTAAATTAAGCCCACTCTTAGTAATCCCAAGGAGGTCTCACTTTTTTAAAAGCACGGTGAGTATGAGGGAGGAGAAATCTCAGTGTTCTGCAAAACTTGTCCCTGTTTCATTACGTAAACATCCTCTGGATTGTCTGTAAGTTGAAATTTTTCTGCAGACTGAATGGCTTAACTGATGAACGTAACGAGACGTTTTTGTGTGTGTTTCACTGAGCAACAAAATATTTGTCTTTTTTCATTGACTAGATTTCTGTGAATACAAAATCAAACAAGTCTGATCCTACACAAGAGCCTTCTACTGTCCTATATGTGAAACTTGAAGTGGTTGCCAAAATCTGTACGTGAAAAGTTTGAATTGTTAATTTAAGCCGTTTTCTTAATAGCGTATTACGAGAAAAAGGAAAGGCGAATTACCAGGGATAACCAACCATCTTGGCCCACACGATTGCGCCACTCGGGTAAGGTGTGTACATCACGTCTAAGTTGCCTTCTTGGCTGTCGAATGTTTCTTGCGATGCACTACACTCATTATATTTCTCATCTAAGGGGAAGAAATTGAGACCACGTGGTTGCTTTTTAGATTTAGAACGGACCCTACATTCTAAACAACTTTTCTAAAGGCGAAGAAGAGGGAAACAGAGGTTTTAGAACAGTCATTAGATTTGATGTTATAACTCCGAACTCCACTTAAACCGAATTTTTCGCCGTGCATTGTGACTGCCAAAAAATTATGTAATTTACGCGACTAAGTACATAGATTTTCCACAACTTTAGTGTACATGACCTGATCACATGTAAGTGAGTTTTGTGTGCTCCAGGGAGTTGTGCTCTATGGGATAGCACTCAAAACTCTCGCCCAATCGGAAAACAAGTTTGAATTAATTTTAACAATCATAGTTGATCAGCAGACTATCCTCAAAAGTTCAGAGAGGCCTTCCCTCTAAGAGAAAATGATTATGCCAGGAAATAGTACATCGACAGATGGTTTGAAGCAAGTTTAACAGACAAACAAGAAGTACTTTCTAAAAATTAGCAAACCAAGAGTGCCTTACTTTCGTTCATTGCACACACCCATCTTTCGGGCAGCTCGTTTGGGTCAACATTGCTCTGAAGAAATCTCCATTTACCACAACTTGGAATGCTGCACTGAGCCCAAGTTCCCTGTTTGTCTGTACCCTGGAGGTCAGTAAGGAGTTCAGAGTTCTGTAATATCAACAAAAGAGTATTACGAAAAGTCTTATTTCTAAGGCTTATCCTAAATGAGTTAAGCTTTTTTATCAAGTTCCTTTCCACGTTTTCCCTACCTCACTGGATTCAAAGCCATTTTCGGAAGCAAACTGTAACCAAACCAAGCAGTCTCTCGTTTGGTTATTCACGTTTTTTAAAGATTTCAGAACATCCTGCATCCGCATAGCTCCCTTCACCCTTCCATTCTAATAGTTTTTCAACGAAAGACATTGATATTCCGGTTTCCATATACAGGTTGAACAACATAAACCAAAATTACCTCTGTCAGTGTAATGGTATTTTGTCCTTGGTCGATCCCTTTACGTTTTCTGATTTTTCTGGGCTTTGCTAGTTTTCTTTTTTGCTTTGCTTGGCTTCCTGTATTTGATAGTTGAGAATCATCTTGACTCTAATGGTTTAAAGGAAAATAAAATTTAAAAAAGAAAGCAGTAAATTTCCATATTTTACTTTCTATAGTTTTCAAGTTTCCCACGCTTCATAGACTATGATTATATAATTCGGGTTTTTACCTGACTCACCACAGGCTCATCCGGCCTGTCATTACAGCTAGTTGGAACACACTGCATACCCTCATTGTCACATCTAGGCTCCCTAACTGCAAAGGAGCCAAAATTGAATTTTATTGGCAGGTTACGGAGGAGAATGCTCTTAATCAATAGTTGTCTTGTTATATTGATGGTTACAGATAGTCCAGTTTTTTTAAGGCAAGGTCAGGATAAAAAATAGTACAATAATGCAACAATACACGAACATTACAGGAATTGCATTAGAGTGACGGAGGCATGTCTTTTTCACGCAAAATTAGTTTTCTTGAAATTAACATACTGGTAACTTAAAGGAGTGAATAGACCAAAGCAACAGGGAAAAACTGAAGCTAGATTGAAATAACAAACATTTCTGCGCCTGTTAGAAAATAAAACCCAATGATTAATTGAAGAGGATATAGTTCAAAATGACTGAATGATGCCTGAATAAATAAAAAAATGAATCAGGATGACTGAATGACTAAATGTATGAAGAAAGGACAGAAGGAAGAAAGAAGAAAATTGCAGGAAACAAAAAACGATAAAAAAAAACTCAATAACAAAATGATGAACAACCTAATAAGCACACACAAACAAATCACTCAATGCTTTTTAATCTGAATAAATTATAAGCATGTAATTGTCTGTAATTATCGCATATGTCTTTTATTTCCCTTCTTTTCCCCTTTTCCACATAAACCTAAAAAATAGGAGATGTCTGCACATAGTCAAAAATATAAGAACAGATAATTGAACGATAAAACATATTAATTACACCTTTTGCAATCTCTACTTGTTCTGTATCACTTTCTTGCATGTTTTGTAAGGATTCTGACAACTCAGGATAGAGATCTGGAACTGGTACATTCAGTTCCTCACTGTACTCAGTATCCCACACTGGCTCTTGTGTACTTGTTGCCAAGGACTTAGAGTAAGAAAGCTCTGTAGAACTATTCTATCATACGAAATGTAAAGAAGATGTAAAAAAGTTAGAAAATTCAGTTAAGTTAATATTGGCATTAACTGATTTTACACTTTGTACTATAGGGCTAATTTATGATAAGGCTGAATTCACAAGCAGGCAAAATGAAGTGAATCCTGCATTCCACCTTAGCCACTCGGCAGTGTTGAGCACACAAGAAAAAAGTCTTTTTTGGCTAAATAACAAATCCTTTAATAACCAAGCAAGGTGGTTGTATATTGACCTTGATCCTTTGTGCGTCTTTATTGGCTGGAAAGAAATTATTTGGCTAATAAAAAGCCATCATGTCTTCAAGCTTGGTCAATAATGCATATGTCCAACTGTTTAACAAAACAAACAGGAAAAATATTCACAAGGCCTCTGAAGAACTGCTTTCCTCCCAAAAATGGTCCAAATATTCATGTAGCATACTTAGTTACATTGTCACAATAACCAATTACAATGATGTTATATATTAAATTTAGTAAAATCTAACTAGTGGTCTATTATTAATGCTGCATTCTGATTGGTTGAGCTACTACTAGGCTATATGTTATAGCCCACTAATAGCACAAAGTGCTGGCTTTTTGGCGGCAAAAAAGGCTTAAAGTCTAGCTTTAACTAGCTAAAGTTGTTTTGTCTCGATATTTTTTGACCAACTGGTTGGATTTTACTAATACAATTATTCCTCTCGCCCTCATGGCCTCAGAGTCAATCGCCCATTTGGCCTTCGGCCTCATGGGCTTTTGACTCAGGGCCCATTCGGGCTTAATGAATAATTGTTAAATATTCAATACCACTAACACTAACATAATGCTGTAACAAAAAAATAAAAACAAATTCATGGAGCTAATACTTAGTAACATAATGTTGTCCAAGTTCTACGTATTCCTTCATGTGAAACCCTTTTATTGCATGGCCTTAGAAAGAAAGCCATGTTTAACAATTTTTCCTTACCTTGCAGACCTTGAAAACTTTGCTTCTTGATTTACTCTTTGATTTCAAGATCTCTTCTTTGGCTTTGGAACCTTTGTTTTTACGTTTTTCTGAAAAAAATGTGGATAAATAGAGGATTTTACATGGCCGCGCGGAGATACGAAATTTCTCTTCGAGTGTTGAAAAATATTTACAAACGAGTGAAATGTGTTTTTCAACAGGAGAAGAGAAATTTCGTATCTCCAAGTGACCATGTATTATATAAACACCAATGAAATACCAAACCATTTTACCAGAAGCATATAACCCCGTTCGGGGTTATATGTTTCTGATTTTACTTAATTAGTTTTTTGGTCTGAAAGGTGCGGTTTATTATGAAGCCATAGCAACGGTGATATTTTTTCACATGTAAAGATAACATGTTATTCTTACATGTGAAAGCTCACTGGGTATTTCATTAGTGTTTATATAATAAAAACAGTTAATGCATGAAACCTGCATCAGAAAACACAAATAGGCCTAATAAAAATTTTAAACAATCGAGACTCGTTGCTACTTGACAATCAACATTTCACATTTGTCACATGTGACATTTGTAGGTGTTATCAGAAATTTCAAATATTGCAATAATAAACGAGCTTCAAGACCTATGAACTGAAGCCATAAGAGCCTGTTAAGAATGAAAAACGTACTTGTAAACAACTCTTAAGTTAAACTAGAATAAAGCGTTGATCGATGGCTAGTCTTTCGTGATAAAGATAAACTCAGTCTGAACTACTTGCAGAAACATTAGAGAAGCCATTAAAAATGTTTCGAGAGGATATCTTTGTTTTCTAGAAAATCAGTACACCGTTGGTTTCGGGTAAATAAGTAACACGAATTTTCAATCGGCATATTCTCAAAGCAAACGTTTAATGGCCAGTTGCATTCGCATTGTAAACTGCGTAAGCTAATAATATGCATGTAGCAACAAGTGGAGCCAACGTACTAACACTGTTGTAACACTGTTAAGTTGTACTGGTTTCCAGAGAATTCAACCCCAAGGATAAATGAATAGAGCGTAGGCTTATGCAAAGCAGAAATCTCGTAGAAAAAGCTATAAGTCGCTTGACGCCGGCGCCGAAACCGCATTTGGTGAAAATCCTGAAAATTTTATGACTTTTGACAGCTGAACATGAGGACAAACACAAGAAATGTTTTTAACAATTAAAATCGTATCTTCTTAAGATATAATCTGAACAGGAATTCGCGTATCTCACCTTTTAAGCTCTTGTTAAACGCCGACGTCTCGCAAAATGATGGAGAGGTGGCCGCCATTTCTCATTTCTTTATCAAAGTTTCCCGCCAATAACTCCATGACAGCCGCGTTTCCTGTCACGTGTCACCTGGTACTACAGTTTCACTTTTTTTCACTTTCGCAACCTTTCCTTCAGTTTCATTTTTCTAAATATTATAAAATTCTTTTAAAGGCGGGAGGAAAAAAGGGCCTCTTCAGTTGGTTTTCGTTTCAAATGCTTATTAGAAAATATTACGTCACAGACAAGTAACAGCTCGCGCAACTAGTCTGTTCGCGTGAAAAGCACTTTTACAAGTTTTCACTGTGAGTCGTAGTGACTTGCAGAACGGAAAGGGCCTTCTTTGCTTTCTTGCTTTGCCATGCTGTTGCTGTTTGATTAGGCTAGGGCACTTGGGAACGAGCTTGCGCGAATATTACATTAATCCACCCTGACCACAAGTTTTCACTGTGTATCGCAGTGACTTTTTGATTAGGGCAGTTGGGAACGAGCTTGCGCTTTCTTTCATTAATCTATTTTGTTGAGCCTTCCCCTTCGCCTCTTTTGATTGCCCCATATTTCTCGCGGGATTTCATTGCTCCGAAACCACAAAACGCTTGCTATGCAGGCTACTCTCGCAGGCCCACAAATAGCGGACGCCGAGAAGAAAACGAGAAGGAAGCCGGAAGGTGTGAGGCCAAAAGGTTTTTGCAAAAGATTACAAGGTCCAGTCTACTTTTCGCTTCTTAAATGGCGAGTAGAAGGCCATCTCTTGAACAAAAATGGCAGTTACTGAAGGGTGAACCGTCCAATGTTAACACAACAGCATTTGCCAGCAAATATGGCAGTGTAAAAATCCGATTCTACGCACATTTGCAGTGAGCCCGGCTCAGATGCATTGCCTGGACAAGTCCTAAAAAGAACAAATATTATGCAACGATCAAGTTTTTCATGAAGCACTACTCAAATGCCACACATCTAAAACCACGATATTTTCGGCAAAGACGATTAACCAGCTTGTGGTTGGTTCTTCCTTGGTTTACAAGTAGTTTTTTGTTCGAAGGTCAGTTCGCTTCAGCTGTGGCCTCTCTACTCGGAAATAAGCATTTCCACACTCATATCATACGGGGAACGCAGAACCACTAAGGACCACTAAGTACACGTCTTACGACTAAATCATTATTTTATTTCATTCCACGCTATTTTTTAACTTACAGCTAAAAATCCTAAAGCATTAACCAAATGGCTGAGTACTGACTGACTACTGCTAAAACTATTATGGATCTTATAGTCATAAAAAGAGTTATAGTAAAAAGTTTTGGAAACAACGTTTTGACAGTGCGCACATCCTTAGTTTATGCTCTAATGTTTATTCTTCAAAATAAATATAATTTTGAAGGATAAATGTTAGAACATAAACTAAAGATGTACTCAGTTAAGGCAAGCGGTTAACAAAATCAGGATCAATGTAACATTCTGACAAACAGCCCACCTACCCTTCAACTAAGTCAACGTCTCAGTAAGGAAAAAATTCTGAGTGAAGGAAGGGGTTAGTGGAAAGATCCCTACAATCTTATATTGATCTGAAAATTCTTAAGCAACAACGACAGCAGCGGCTACGAAAACGACACTCTGGGCATGTTTACATGAAGGTGGGGGACTCCAGGTAGGCGAGGTAACCCGCTCAGGTGGGGTAACCCGCCTGTCCATATAATCTCTCATTTTAATGTGATCACGTTTACATGTTAGGTGGGGTGACCCGCCAAATGTTACTTCACCTACCTGGGGTCCCCCACGTTCATGTAAACAGGCCCTTAAAAAGTGAATTTGCGCTGCTTCAAACTTTATCGCACTTATTCCATCTCGTTTAATTCGTCAAATGTTGGCAAATTTTTTTGGAGTTGAATTCTAAAGGACTGTATCAAAGTTCAGGAAAAGAAAAAGAAAGTTGTTGTCTTATCTTGTGTTCTCGTCCTCGACAAAAACGTGAAAATAAGCACTGACGTTGTAGTCGCGAAACGACAGTAGAGAAATGTACAAAAAAGCGTGATTGCTGTCCGTGTCCGCACTCGGACGAGCGCGTGGTTCCCTACTTAAGCTCCAACCTAGCCAATTTACCTTCTTGTGTAACTGGGTGACATGGAATAATCGCGAAAACGTTTTAAAGATGCGACGTGTTATTGGCATCGCCGTTGTCGGATCGTAACGTCCTAAGTTTGCCTGTAAACTACAATAACTGCCACGTTTTCAAGACACCTGGAAAGCCCCTTAGTAATTACAAATCAAGGTTATATTGTATCGTTTAAAAATCTAAAAAATGACTCTCTTATTTTAATATGCCCTTAAGGTTTTTTTTTTTTACCACTGTAATGGAAAGTTACTGTTTTATACACTTGGCTTTACCATGTCGATGTGGTTTTGTTTCGTTTCTTGTTTTTTCCTTTTCTTCGTTTTTTTGTTTTTGTTTTTATAAAGGCTGATAATTACCTTTATTTTGATTTTTACACATGCTTTATTCCATGTGTTTGTAAGAACAATAGCAGTTTAGGAGGCACCGAATAATCTCTTTCTGAAATAGGAGTCTTAAGCAGTGAATATTTTGTTATTATACATTGTAATCACTATCTGTCTTCTCATTGGCTATCAGCCTACAGCTAATTTTGAAAATCAGCGCAGCCTGCAGATAAGTTAATTATCTGCTAGCAGACAACTGACTAATCTGTAAGTTGCGCGCGCAAAGAGTGATTTTTAATAACAGTATCAGTTCAGGTTCCTTGCGAAGGTATGTATGTCGTTATTTTCTTCCAAACAATGTATAATAAAACAATCATTAGATTCGGTTTCTGTGATATCCTAAATAATCAAGATCTCGGTGAGTGTTATCAGCCTCGGCCTTCGGTTTGGCTGAAAACACTTACCTCGACCTTGACTATTCCGGATGTCACAAAATTGTTTATTATATAGCTTGCTTAAACCCACACTAAGTTGCGTTTTCAGTGGATAATAAATGCAGGAAGAAAAGGACACTCGCAACCAAAAAATGGACCAACCCAAAAAATGGACAATTCGGTGCGCCCTATACTACTAATATTTGCTTTTAGTCTGGACGAAAATCAAAAGTATTGGATGGCATACCTTTACGAGAAAAAATAGCATTCCGGAAGACACTTTCGCAGTGGACTTTTCGAAGAACTAGTAAGGTAGCAAGATTGATGTGTTCCTAGTAGCATACAAGAACGAAGAGTTACTGACGTAATCATACTCCGAGAACTCGTACAGATTCGTGTTAGTGAACAAGAACCGGAAAGTGGCGTCCGGAGCTAGCAACAAGGATATGCCAAATGAAACTTCAGGTCAAGGAGCACGTTCGATTGACCATATTCCAGAATAACATTAAATGGCTTAAACTCTAAAATCACTTGTTTTCGCATTTATTGCATGGTAAAATCCAGAAATCTGGTGGAAATTAAAAATCATGATGGATGTATCACACCAATGGCCCAAAAATTTGGATCGAAGAGATTTGCACAAAAATCTGTTCATTATATTGTTATGATTCTGGAATCCGATTATTGGAATGTACCCGCAATGCCTCATCAACGATCTAAGGAGATAAGTCATTCCATCGTACTTAAAAATCAGTTACGCCCATTTTTCTAGTTGTTGTTTCAGCGCAATGACATCTTTCCAGCTCTGTTTGTTTTTTTTGTGTGTGTCTGTGAAGACTGGTTATTTTTGTAAATAACAGATGAGTGAAAAATTAAAGACATTGTTAAAAATGACAGAGATAAATTATTTAGAGAGGTTTTCAACCTCTTTTAAAAACTTATCTTTTTTTATAACACTATCAAACTTTTTTAACCCCAAAAAGGGTCCTGAAACTCTACAATTATAAAGAAAAAATTGAAAACATGCGCGCTGTTCTTTGCATATATTATAAAATTTCACCTATTCCTATAAGCAAATAAAAAAATGCCAATTTTTACAGTTCTCTCCGCAAAACTTATAATCAACCTTGATCGATAACCGCCAAAAGAATAGTCACTGATATTTCAGCACTTCAGTGTATAGTACATCGCAAATTTAGCTTATTTGATCACAACCGGTGACGTCATTGTGCTTTACGTGATAAATCGTGATCTGTTCGTTGCACCAATCAAAATAAAATTGCTATAGTGTTACTATTCTGAGTATTAGTGGTTTTACTGACTATACAACAAGAAGAGCTAATGAAATGGAATCCGAGTGGAGTTACAAGAACCAGAATTCGAGTTATCGGGGTAAATTTTAGTGAAATTTTGATCAAGGTAAAGGAAATTTAGTTCGAGTTAGCGAGGAGTACTAGTTAACCGAGTATAAAGGACTGAAAAGTGAGGTGAAATTCAAGCGAAATGGGAGTTGATTCGCTCCCCAGGAGTTCGAGTTATCGAGGTTCTTCTGTATTATTTGTGGCATCCCAACTCCCGTAAATACTTTCAATCCCGAATCTCCCCCCGGTTTTGCTTTAAAATCCCGAATCCCGAGCCTCAAATAAAGAAAATCCCGCAACCCGAAAAACTTATTGGGGACCCTACTGGTCAGTATCCGTATTGGTGTTATATACAGGTACAACGCTACTCAAAAGTCATAGCCGACAAGCAGGCTCTCAAGTTGATTTCACAGTCGCTTTCCAAAATATACATATACAGTGAAACCCCGATAATGCGACCACCGTTTGGTCATAAAATCCTGGTCGTAATAACGAGCAAGGGTCACATTAACGGGGTCTTCAAAATAATAAAATGACTCAATGGTTGTTACGTTTGGTTTGAAAGAATATGGCCGTAATAACGAGGTGGTCTTATAAACGGGGTGGTCGTAAGGCGGGGTTCCAAATATTGCAGTTGAAATATTAACAAAGATTCGGTCTCGGGGAGGGGAAGGGGGGGGGGGAGAGGGGTTTGGCCAGGGGATTTCTAAATATCACTGGCAACTTACATATAAGTGATTAAAAACTCTGGGTACGACTGGCCATTTTCAAAGACAACAAACAAGGAGGGGTTGGTTTTGTTATCACAACAGGAGTCAAACAAAACGTGAGGGGTAGAAGGGTGTTTGGCTGGTGGACGAGTCAGTTCGCTATCACCATTGGTGTAAGAACCAACCAATACTCTAGCCAAGAACATTTGTTTGTAACTCCTAGATGTAACCTGAATCGAGGAGTAGCGATGGGAATATTTGGCCTTACAAGCGAAATAACTTCCCTTTCCATACTTTGTGCCGTGCTTGCCACACATTCGCCAGTCAAAACCCTGCTGGCAGATGGCGTCGACAGTGTCGGATTTGGTTCCGTGGAACAGCTGCCTTTCTTCAGGTTCTTTGCCAGCCTTTTTGGCCATGCGACCTTTTTCCCTAAAAAGGAAAACAAGGGTTTGGTCTTAGGTTGTTTAACTTTGCCTAGTCGCTAGGCCTCATAACTGCGCGCGGCCGATGCTTTTCGGGTCACGTAGTCTGAGCGAGTTTCTGAGTCCCCCAGCCGTTCGTCTCGGATACGTCACCGAAATGCACTGACCAAGAAGGCATGGGACGACGCCATACAGGCATTAGGCAACGTTGAACTAGCATAAAGCGCAATTTAGGTTTGAGATCAGGGTATTTTCTCCCAACCCAGCAGGGTCACTATCTGAGCTAGAATCGGCGACAAAATTAGTTGAGACACTTTGTCCTGAAAGGTCTCTCTGACGTTTCTCCAACTTGAAAAAGGGGGAAATACAGCTTTCATTCCCCCATACCCCTAAGCCCTTCCATACAATGTTGTGCCGCTGTTCGAGCTTCATATAAAAAACAACAAACGCCCCAAATTTGAATGGAGAAGAGAGGGACGGGCGTGGACTGGATTGATTTGTTCTTCGAAGTTGTCCCATTTGAGGAGAATGCCTAAACAATTTTGATACCTCTCAATATCACACTCATTTTCTCTGAAGACGTCCTCGAATAGGTTGACGAGCTTGTCGTAACATGAGAAAGTTGCCGTTCGAGGATTACATGACATGCGCACAAGGAAACAGAGGAAATAACTGTCAAATTCATTGAAAAAACATTGGCAAACTTTTAATGACAACCTGCTCGTTTCGGGAAATTTAAGCCAAAGTTTCAGAGTTGGCAATTTGCTGAATTTGCAGAAACCATAGCTTTTTGTGTATCAATTCAGCAGTGGCTAATGCAGTAACGGTTTGTCCACTTTCCACCTTAAAGGACTGTTAAAAGGCACATCCAGCGAATTGTAGCATTTTCAAAATCCAAGGATACTCCCTTTTGATTAACAACTCGGATAGTCGACCATTCGCCTATCAAAAATACTTTGAATTCAATATTATATTCCCCTGCTTTCAACTGACTTTCCAAAGAATGGCCTTAATAGGAGTCACGACCGCTGTTATTACAGCAAATATAGAGAAGAGAAGTGTGATGTCACAAAAAATCAAATTTGTGAAATTATTGAAGAGATGAAAAAGGCCCCTTTGTCAAAAGTCAGCCCGTCAGAGCAAATTGATGAGGAGATATAAGCACCGGTTTGCTCTGATGACTCCGTACAAATCCTTCTAAAATTGATTTGGATCTTAACATTAACAAGCCAGGCCTGTTTAAGAGGAGTTGTATGGAGTCATCAGAGCATAATAAACGCTTAATGACTGGACAAGAGGGAAACAAAATTTACTGTTTCCCGAGGGACTAGTCTTTAAGTGATTTATTATATAACTGGAAACTTTGAAGCTGGAAATTCATTAAACCTCGCTGTAACGGTGGTCATCGCTCAACGTTCGCGGTAACATTGCATTGTTACCCTCTGACGTCATAGATTTTTTGCAATGTTGCCCGCTCAGAGATTTTGGCGGGAAACAGTTTCATTGTTAGATGTGATGCTACATCGAAGTAACCAATGAGACCGCGCGCTGTTGAGAAGAAATTTCCAGCTTTATAACAACATTGCTTATATCTCCACCAACAGGCTGATTTTTAGCAACTGCCACATTTTTCATCTTGTTCTTTCTGGATATGCCAACCAATCTCATAATCTTCCAAATTTAGTTTTTGTGACGTCATCCCTACTCTTCTCTAGTCGGGGGAGATTGAATAGATTTTTCAGTAGAAGGAATAACATAAATCACATACTGGGTGTATCGTGTCCATAAATCTGGGTTTTGCACTCGCTCTATCTTGATAATCATACGACGTCGTTTCATGGTATCCTGAAATTTCTTTTCTGTCCCCTTGTATTCGTCAGATATGGTCTTCAGTTTTACACATGAAAAGTCTTCACCATCAGACAGCGGACGCCAGTGAGATGGTATACCATCAAGTTCTGGTGACGCTGAACTTGATTTTGCACTGTCCAAGGCAGTTACTCTACGCCTGATTAAATAAATGACAAGAGGAGTACTTAAGTTAAGCAACGTTTAAAGCGTAAAAACAAAGTCGTCCTACTCTTTTGCTTACACTTCCATAATGCCAGTACGACTGTAGACTAGGAGCAGAGGTTTCTCTCTTGCATGGCTTTTAGCTTTTACAAAGTCGTTCGCGTGGCTTGTCTACGCAACAAACAAGTGACGCGAATGACTTCGTAAACGCTAAAAGCCATGCAAGAGAAAAGCTAGCCAGTGACCAGGCACTGCAGTGAGGAAAAAGGCTAAAAGGGGATGAAATAGGAAAAGAGAAACCTCTGCTCGCAGGGCATTACGACCGAGGCGCAAAAAGATGCGATCGCAATGACATTTTACTTATGGAAGCGCGGTGATCGCAAACTTGATTTAGTAATTAAAAGTCAAATCCGTCATCTCAGTATCCGAGTTGCGATCCGGGCGTTACAATCACGATCGCACATTATCGCAGCGGCGTTGCACCGGCGATCTCTGAGTGCTGTGATTGATATGGACATGTTAGGGAAAATCCGTCGACATCACAAGAAAGAGAATTAGAATTAGTAAGCTTGCCAAGTTTGAGGGTGATACGTCTTAAGCGTGGGAAGGTATAGCTCCGCAAATTAAATTTACAGGCCTTTGGATGATGGGTTGTGTAAATTTTCGCAACTTTGCCAGTTTTCGCCCGCTTAAGACGTACCACTTTCCAACTTGACATGTTTAGCGACAGATTTTCCCTAATGGGTTGTGTCATCTTTTTATTTTTGAATGCTTAACGCCTCATGTAATGCCAATGAGTTGATCAAGATACCGGGTCCCTGCACAAGTTTTGCTCGTGGAATCTAGACTGGCAGGCTAGTGGAATCCGGAATTCAGCTCTACGATTCCAGAATCCCATTAACGATTGAAATCTGGAATCCAAAACTTTTCTTTGGGGAATCCGAGCCCCTAGGATTTGGAATCTGGAATTCAGCCGCAGGGGGATACTCCGTATTGCAAAACGATTGCATTCCGGAATCCAAGTTCCATCAACAAAGAATCAGTGGAATCAAGAATCCAAAACTTCCTTGAATTACTTTGCCCAGACGAAACCTTAAAACAGGATCGTACTTATATAAACAGTTTTAATTTAACAGCTTTAATGTTCAGTACCGCTGAGCAATATCTTTCATATTCTGTTTGGTCACGAAGTCAGCAGGCCTCCTTCTAACTGGCCTTTTGGTTTTATGAACATCATTTTGTTGATACCATCCTTTGAAGTAAAGAGTGTAACGGTGATGAGAGGCACTGAAGGAGTGACAGTCCTTCTCTAAGAAGAAGAAAAGCTGGAATGAATTAAATTGTTCTTTTGATCTTTTCATTTCTGAAGGAAAAACATAAATTAAAGATTACAAAAGAAAGAAAGAAATCGTTTTTTGTTGCCAATTAGAGCCGGACGCAGGGGTAGATCCACGAATTTTTTAGAGACGACCACATCTTACTCAATCGGTGAACGCTGGTTGCCGTTGGCTCGGGAAATACTGCTTTGTGAGCAGAGACGAACAGACCATAGGAGGGTATCCAAAACCAGTTACATTTTTTAATATCACTGGAATTTAGTTTAGTGCCACAATGCAACGCGCATTTCATTTTTTAAAAAATCAGCCAGTTAAAAAGTGATATACCATCCCGTCGATGTAAGAAATTCAGTTGCAAACAAGCGTCAGGTCTGATAGGGGGATCCGGACTCCCCGGACCCGCCCGCTGGATCCGCTACTGAGATGACAGCAGATCAAGAACTTAAGGTAACTAGGGGCCCTCTTATTATTCTAGACCATGACATGAGGGTTAGGAGGGTGAATACAGGCTCATCAGTTTCTAGCCATGGTTGTTCTAATGCTCCCAGGAATCTCCTGAGACCAAGCCTGGAGGGGAAAGGGCTGGACAGGAATTTTGTTTTTGGTCCTGTGGTCTTGGGTTTGTTTTCAAAGGGGGGTGATGTGGATCTTCCAGGCCTCTCCCCATGGGCCACCTCTTGCCTCTCACTGAACAAATTTGATACCATGCTGTAAGATGCAGACTTAATTTATTTTTATTGGATGACAAATAATAGAATAAAAAAACAAAAAAATCAGAAGGAAAAGATCAAGGTACAAAGGAAAAATAATAATAATTTCTCTAACTAAATAATATAATACAGTAAAAACTCTCATATAAAGAACCTAGAATTTTCGTTATCAGGATGAATTACAGCTGTTTCTTATATTTCAGGGTACTTTTTGACAAATCAGGCTGATTAGGTTCTTAGGAAGTTCTTAATTTTTCAAAGATAGTTGTAGCATAGTCATTCACAGAAATATTACACTACTAGTACATAATGGTTTATAACTAGTTTAAACAACAAGCATATGCTGCCAAGCTAAATAATAATAGTCAGAATGTGTGCTGACTAAACAATAACATGCCGAACAAAACATTAATTAGGCCATTTATATAATTGCGCACATCATGTTAATTGAAATAATTAAATAAGGCATATACATGATTACATATTGTTAGAGGTTTCACATAAAGTTAACATTCAGAATTTTGATCATTGAAATTGGGGTGATCTTTTGTATAAGAACCTCTTTTCCTCTGCAGGCTGAACAGGTTCTTATAAACTTGAGTATGAAAATGCCAAATTTCTGCCTGTAAGTTCTTAAATCTTTAGGTTCTTATATGCAGGTTTTTACTGTAGTGCAGAACTTCCACAATAAAACAATGCTGGTAAGGTATACATTTTTTATTATATCTCAGCTGTGGATGTGTTTGAGTAGGATCTGAAATCAAACATTCATCCACTATGCATGGCATGGTCTGCTGAAATTATCCCCCAAATGGACAAAAAGTTTGAAATTTATATGACATACAAGCAACTGATTAGGGTAAAATTAGAGGAGAGGCAGATTTCTTACCTGCCATGTATTCGCTCTCAAGACGTTGGCTGTTGGTGGTGCTGGCTGCGTGTCCATCAGTTGGTGTGCCATATAACTGCCACTCGTTGTTTTCATCTTGCCAGTACCAATGCCACCTAGTGCTAAAAACATGGCCTGCTGCTGCAACCACCCATGATACAGTAGACAGTCGTTGAATCTTAGGAGACGTCCAATTCACAGCTGATAGAGAAAGGAATATATCTTCACTATTTATCGTTCTGTAAATCCCTCTTCACCTCATGTAAGGGAATCCTGAATCCGGGAAAATTTTGCTTCTTATAGGAGGGTCTGGACCCTGTGGATCCTCCCCCCGGATTTGCCACTGGCGTGGAATCCAGAATCCTAGACTGTCCTGGATTCCCATACATGGGGCGACCCTCTGTTCTCTCAGAGATCTTCTAAGCATTCACTTTTAAGTTGCAGCTGCTTAAACATATTTTTTCACTAATAGTTACTAATATTACTACCTGGGGGGTACTGCCATATATAAGCTATATAGGTATGTGCCGCTGTGAAGGGTATGGTTTTCAAGCAGTTTACTCTGGGATAGGGTATATAAATCAGAGAGTTAAGGTCTAGAATAGGGTATCATTTTCCAGGAAACTGATCAATTGGTTGAAGATTTTAGTCTAAACTAGGGAAACCGTACCGGGAATTGCCACTTAAAAATACGAAAAAATCAAATTGGATTTGTTTTGGCTGGACTGTGTTTTTTGTGACCTCAGTAGCTTCTGGAAAAACAGCTACTCTAGGATGGGGAGGGAGGGATTTTGGGAGTTTAGTGTAGTATAGGGTAGCAAAATTCACTTGAACGAGCTGTGGTATAGGCTGAGGGTTCCAAGGTCCCAGTGGCACATCCCTACCCAAAAATTCCTACAGTACCCCCCTCCCTCCAGGTATTACTACTACTACTTTTGGACCCTGCTACTTCTACTGTTGCTACTGCTACTACCTAGTTCTATACTGCAGTTTAAAAAGTCCCTCTTCCCTATTTCTCAGTGCATGTAAACTCTTTGAGCCCAGTTTGCATGTCAGATTTTGTCTTAATAACACACTATGTACATGTTTCAAAACCCAGGTGGGGTACTTTAGGAACAGTTTAGCTAATTTTGCTTCCCTGTACTAAACCAAACTTTCATAAGTCACTATCTTCTAGACACTACTAAGGACACCAGCCCAGTTCAGTAAAAACAAAGCTTACCGAGTTGTGGGTAAATTTAAATTTGCCAATTTAAGTTTTAGTACCAATTTGTAGTTTCTTATTAGTCTAGACTATTACTATAATCAGTTTTCCAGAATATTGATACACTATTCTAGACCCAAACTCTCTGATTTCTATACCCTATATCAGGATTGTCACCAAGATTTCAAGTTGCCGGGAAAATACAACAAGTAGGCAGGGAATCAGTCAGCTAGGGATTTCTTATGGTTCTACTTTTTCCTTTAAAAGTAGCTGGGGGCCATGTTAATAGTAGCCTGGGGAAATCCCGCTCCCACCTCTTAATGAAAGCCCTGCTATACCCCAGACTAAACTACTTTAAGAAAACTATACCTCACAAAGCAGCTGCACATGCCAGTATAGCCCATATGTGGCAGTACCTCTCAGCTGTCAAACCTAATGTTGTTTGTAACTTTCAAATGGGAGATACTTACCATCATCTGGTAAAACTGGTTCAGCAGTCATACCATCAAACTTAACACTATGAAGAATTCCTCTGATCATAACTGTACAGCTACCTTTGTTAACATCATAGTAGGTTTGCTCTAGCATTGTATTTAGATCACTTGAAAAGCTCTCCCACTTTTCGCCATGTACAGAAAATTCCCACAAGTAAGGTAGCTCTGTGTGACGATGGATACAGTTGTCACCATAGTTACACTTGCCACGCAGATTAAATCCACATATTTCATTGTCCTTTTCCTTTTCATCCTTTGCTTTGTTTGTGGGAACCGGGACAACAGGAGTTACTGCTTTGGGAAATACTTTATCAGGCTTTTCAACGTCAGAAATTCCACTGACATTACGCTTTATTTCCCTGCCTTTCAAGTGCTGAAGCACTTCCAGATCACTGATTCCATCCATGCCATATCCTTCAAGCACTTTTCTGTTGTGCGGGGCAGAGAAATTATGATCCCTTATACAGCGATCGTTAAAACTGCAATGATCATCAATGAAATGTTTACACACGTGCAAGTAGGGACAAATGTCCTCTTTCTGGCAGGTTGCTTTGTTGTTATAGTATCTACAGATGTCTGGAACAGATCGTTTGGCAGCAGTTCGTTGTAGTTCGCTTTGATCCACGATCATTCGCAAAATCTTTTGCAAGAGAGAAGAGGAAGGAACCTTAGTTAAGAAACCGAGGCGGAAGTGATTTAGAATACCAACTGTATGTTGGTCACCATAATTGTGAGATCTTTTGCACTTTAAGTTGAAACTGCATTTTCCCTTGATAAAGTAGGGGCATAAATGAAGAGCAATGCATCCTTTTGAAACACATCCGCCCTCCTCTTCAACTTGACTACAAAACTTGAGCGGGATATCTAACTTAACCATTACTTTCGATTTGGACTTAAAGCTTGTCACGAAATCCAGCTCTCCGAAATCTGACACCAAACGACGGTTGTGTGAACTGAGTTGCCGTACTAGACTCTCGAGTTCTAATTCTCCTCCATTTCCCAGGAGCAGTTCTATCATTTCCTCCAATGCTTCTCTCGGGATGCTGGATTTCGCCATGTTTCATTGTTTGCATGGATAATAGAACGGTCTTTCTAGACCTTTCTATTATCCATACAGGTTGTTTGCCACTTCGGTAAGCACTACATGCAAGCTCACCATATAGTCGTGCAACATAAATGAAATCAGCACTGTGCATAACGTCTTGTAAGTAGCTTTCTATTGCTCGCTTGTACTTTTCAGTCCTTTCATGTACTTTTCTGTACTTATGCGTCCTTTTCTGCCCTAACTAGTCCTTTTGCGTCCTTACTGGTCCTTTTATGTCCTTGTTAGTCCTTTAATGTCCTAACTTGTCCCATTAAATTTTTAGGAATTGTAATTGATCAACACTTAACATGGAAGAACCATATTGACTATATAACTAAAAAGATTTTAAGAATTACAGGTCTGCTTTGTAGGATTCGTTTATACGTCAATCAAACGCATCTAAAATGTTGTATAATAGCCTAATTTACCCATATCTCCATTATGGGAATATTGTTTGGGCAAATAACTATCCCACAAGGCTTGATACATTGTTCAAACTACAAAAAAAAGTATTGAGAATTATAACCTTTT